TTCTGTTTTTTAAATAGTCTGTATATATTTTTAATCATATAGATTCTTTTAGTTATTTATACATGAACTTTTTTATATTTTAAGATATTTAAGAGGAATTATTAAAATATCAATGTAGCATACAAAATATTTAATACTTTATTCTAGCGTATTTTGGCATGGAATAATGTGACAAACCTCGCAACTGTTAATTTCCTTATAATCATATTCTGATATTTTTATGCATAGTTGATGAAAAAAACACAATTAATTTTAGAAAAGAAATGCAATTACAATTATTCCATATATATTTTGAAATATAAATTGGAATCGCCTTGCATGGTAATGATAATTATTACATTTAGAATTTAATCAATTTTAAACTTTTAAATGCTTGAATTGATGCAAATTATTTGTTCGTTTAACATATTTTATATTTAAATGTATGCATTACGTATGAAATATGAGCCCCCATTTCGATATGCCGTCTTGTGGAAAATTTGGAATTGCAATGTGATCCATTTTTGGAATATTTATCCCACCGAATTCAGATTTTAAATATAATGTAACAGCGTTCATGATTCTCTTTGCAAAATCAAATATCAGACGACGCTCTTCTAAATAACAATCGCACCACAAAGTAACGTTTTCATTAACTATAATGGGTTGATATTCAGTCATGACTATCCCAATTTGGAAAGCGGTCATTGGAGGCGTATTATGGAAGTATGTGAGTGATGAATCACTATTATCACTTTCATGGTGCAGGTACTTTCTCGGCATATTTGATAAAGCTGAATAATAGCGAGGATGTTTTATCGAAATGTTAAACGTGGCCTTTAATTGAGGTTCGTCCCAACAAGGAAATAACTCTCTCATTCCATTCCGCTTTTGAATGTGTGGAGCTATCAACAATCTGTTACAATTTAATAATTATTATATTTTAAATATAATCATACACCGCTGAATCTTTACAATTTGATTGAATTCAAACAATATCATTAAAAATTGGTATGAGAAATACATTTTGAAGAAAAATAATTAATAATTATATTATAAATCATATCATGTATACGTATATTTTTAACCATTTATCATTTACTCACGTTACGGTATTTTCTTTGGAAACGTTTTTAAAGATACTGTCTTCATGGTTTTCTTTTAGATGACCAAAAAATTGTGTTTTGAATGTGTAGAGTCCGGGTAGCAACATATAGATTAAAGGAAATCCTAAAATATGCGTTGTATGGGCGTATGTATATTTATTCAATACGTAAATTATGCCGTTCTTTGTAGTCAAAGTTATATTCGCACTATTTATTGCCAGGTTTAGTTGATGCAAACTTATATAGTGAGTCGACTGTAGGATATTAATAGTTGTACTAGTTTCACCGCTAAAGAGGAATGAGTCATAATCATTTTTTAAATCAAATATCTTTATCCAAATCTTATCAAGATTATCAATGCGTTGATTAATTGGGTTTATGTAGGTGAGCTGTGTACAGTAGTGCACTGGTATCACGTAATAAGGAAAATGTATGTAGCTTGAAGTGGTGAAATTGTTTAGATCTTCACTGTTAAGAACAGCTATTGTCAGAATAAATATTACGCTGCTACTTATCTGTGGTAGATTCATGTTGCCTCAATTGTCGTTCTAAATATATATATCTGCCAGAAAGTTTGAAGAAATAATATAGTACTAATGATAATAATGCACATAGTTATCGCATATGTTGTTAGAGACAGAGAGAGTGAGGGGGGAGGGGAGAGGAGAGAGAGAGGGAGAGAGGGAGAGGTGGTGAAGGGTTGGAGGGAGGGGGGGAGGGAGAAGGAGAGGGAGGGTAACGTTATTATATTTGTTTTGTAATTGTAACCATATAGATTCGATTAGATCTACTAATAAGTATAGCACTAAACATTTTTTAATTCAATAATATTTCTAACTCTGTTGCGATTACGTTAAAGATATCGTTGTACAAACGTTATTTTCTAAAAAAGTTTTATATTATTATATATCTTAATATTATATATCTTAATTGTTATATATCTTAATAAACGTTTCTCAGTTAATACGTTTGTAAATACGAAAAGTTAATTTTTCTGTTAATTAATAAGAAATCTTATTATTATCGCATTAATGTTTACAAGAATTTACATTTTATAGTACATTAATAAGGTATGTATATATGCTTACGTAAGAAACGTTTAGTCAAAAATCAAATAGAATTGTTACAATGTCAATATTTAAAAAATAATGGAGCATGCACTCTGCAAATAATTTATGTATCATATTTTTAGAAACTTACCATGTGTAATAAAATTGTGCTATTAGAGTATAATTCAGACTCCTAATTGATATTCATATATTAAATATAACGAAAATATAGATCGTAATAGAATGTTTTTGATTGCTGCGATGTTATTCTTCCGAGATGTCACAACAGACTATGCCATCGACAACGGATTACATAGTAAATACAAAAAACCGTTTCTTTTAATGTAAACATACGATATTAGTTGACGAAATGTTAATCGATTTTTTGTCGAGAAAATACAAGTTTAATGTAGGAGACGTCTGATCAATTTATGCGCTTGATCTATTCTGCTATCGAACTGTTAATGTACATATAATGCATAGTGACATTTTAGGAAAGTTGTTCGCATTTTTAACTATTTGAGCCATTTAATATGTACCTACGTGTAACTTTAAATTGTTTAATATATTTATGTTTATAGTATGTGTGTATGCTTCGTTATGTAAATAAATTAAATCCTGTGTTAAATATTGGTAAGATTTCTTTGAGGATTTTCAATAATTTCCTTGAGGATTTTTAGTAATTTCCTATATTTTTCTCATAAGTATTTATGATCTGCATTAAGAGATGGTGCAGAAAAAAAAGAGAATGAGAGAGAGAGAGAGAGAGAGAGAGAAAGAGAGAGAGGGAGGGAGGGGGGGAGGGAGGGAGACAGAATAGGATGTAGCCGTATAAGTAATACAGCCGTATATTTGTAGTCATTATAAATTAAGAGATTTGAATTCTAAAAATTATAAATTTAATAATATAATTGAGGGGATGGTCGGAATAAGGCACAATTCTACTTAGGCCCCTTTTCTGACGATTAGCTTTTTTATGTAATATTGATCGTAATAGAGAAGTATTGTAACATGTAACTTCTCAAAGACATTACATAAATTCATTTAATATTGTACTCATTTCTGTATAATAAAAAAGTAGCAAGTTATTTTAATTTGTATTACTATCAAGATTTTGTAATTAAGCCTTTATTCGGCCCATCACATCAATTGGTATGAAGTACTAACAATAAATATACATTGTGTTACGTATCGTAATGTGTCATTAATATTTTTATTATAAATATAGTAAAAATATTAACAATATATTAAGGTGTGTAACATAATGCAAATAAACAGGAAATACAAAAGGTATAATATACAGATATCAGTAATTTTCGTGATCATGTAAATTGAAAATATCCAAACTGGATACGATCCATATTAATAAAAGTATTAGAAATTTATTCTAAGGATATTTGTAAGAATAATGTATAATAAAATAGCCGTATAATAGTTCATTATAATTAAGATATATTTATTAATTATTTTGCTCTATAAATGAATAATAATATTATATGACATGCTAAATAATACAGGTACCATAGTATTATAATAACGAAAAATAATCAATAATATACAAATGAAGCTAGACTAAACATACAGAAAATACAAACGTAAGCAAAAATTTAATGAAAACGAAGTGTAAAGAAACAACGGTTTGAATTAAGCGTTATTAAAGATCTTTTATAATATATAAAAAATAATTTAGTCACATACGATGTTAATATGATAAACAGTAGAGAATATACGAATATACAAAATAATATGCCATAGTAAATCGGAAATTTCGGAACTCACAGGTCCTTCTACAGCGATTCAAGAAGGATATTAGGATGTTACATGGTCATAGAGATGAATAATCTTATGGTCAGCGAGACATTGTGTGGTACAAATGCTTCAAACAATTAATTCGCCTGTTTTTAATTGAATTATGTAATAAAATATGCGAGCTAATAAACGCAGCTAATATCTATAATTACTGGAAAAAAGTTAATAATGTTAATATAATTCGCTAATAAATCTATTGTGCATGTGCAAAAAACCGCACCTATATCCGAATATAAAAATATTTTTTCCCAGGATATTTTCAGAATCATTTTTAGATACTTAAAAAACTCAGTTAAAAAATATGTTAAATAACAAGTCTGTATTTTTTAAATATTAAGTTGCTATCAAAATTGTTTTTTCCGAGATCATGGATTTTGTAAATCACGTTATCAATTTTATCGCCAGTAGCTATATGTATACGATAGTTCCCAAATTGAAAATAGATGTACTGGCGCTAGTGCATGGGCGATTTTATTTTTCAATTTAAGGTTATGTCATCCTGTTCTAGTGGTAAACACAACTGATACTGGTAAATATTTTACTTTTATGATTGCGTTTCCGAGTTAGAATCGACGTTAAATCGACGAAGTTAATCTCTGCGAAATGGCCGAAACCCCTTTGAGTTTGGGCGAGAAGACATTTATTATTCATGGAGTTGATGTGAGTACATTCAACAGTGTTTACGTGCACGTGCAATTGTTTTCTATGACCCGTGCATGCTTCGCTAGCATTTATATTATTTTCGAACACTAATTGTTACTGCTAATCTATTAATCGTCATTTCTGATAATCTCGGATTATTACAGATAAAAATTAATATTCTATTCGAAGAACATTTTTCTCTTATAGTTTTTATATCCAACAATTAAATCTCTGGAACTTTTGACACGTATTATATATTGTAACAATTGATTTCAGCTTGACTTCAGAAATGATGGTCGATCCAGGTATCAGTATCGCCCTATCGAGATCGAAACCAAGCTGATGAAGCATACCCATGGGTCAGCGAGATTACGTATAGGCAATATTACAGATGTATTAGTTGGCGTAAAACTTGAAATTGACACACCGTATGCTGAAAGGCCAGAGGAAGGCAAATTGGAATTTTTCGTAGACTGGTACATATACACCTTGGGCTTATAGTTTAGATTAACATCGAGCGTACTTTAATTTAATATTTTTTCTAGTTCTGCTAATGCTACACCGGCATTCGAAGGAAAAGGTGGGGACGATTTGGCAACTGAAATTAGCAACGTCCTTTCTATGGCCTATCAGACACCAAACGCCTTCGATTTGAAGCAGCTGTGTATAATACCTCATCAGAAATGTTGGAAAATGTACGTGGACATTTTGGTAAGTAATATTGGTACAATACTACAATACAATACCCTGTTTTATTTAACTGAATTTTTTGCATTATTTCTTCAATGTGGACAGAAGAAGAGGAAAGAAATTCAGCTGAAAAGAACAAACCTAAAATCGAATTTAAAACTGCATCATCTTCTTTTCACTTTTCCAGATCCTTCAATGCGGTGGAAATCTATTTGACGCTGTTGGTGCTGCGGTGAAGGCGGCATTGTATAATACTGAAATTCCAAGGGTGATCACAGCCACTCTCGATGGTGGCGAACCAGATATTCAGGTGTCAGACGATCCTTACGACTGTATTAAACTAGACGTCACAAATTATCCAGTGGTATTAACAGTATGTAAGGTATGCAATAATCTTTAATTATTTTTTAAATAAATGAATTATGATGTTTTTATAACATACATTTATCTAAGAAACAATAAGGAAATATTTATATACTGCTTAAGATATTTCTATAGAAAGATTCAATTTCTTTTTTGTAACTTTTTATTAATTACTTTGTACATTTTCGGCAATTAAAGATATTTCCTCTAACAGATTGGTGACAACTTCGTGATAGATCCAACGTCGGAAGAAGAATCTTGCAGTACCGCTAGTATCCTTATGTCCGTGATGCCGAACGGCAAGGTGACGTCTGTAGTCAAGCTGGGATACGGCAGCTTGTTGCCTAGTACCTTGATTAAGATGTTGCAGGTGATAACAGTTTTTAATGTCTTAATTATTATATATTATGGTTAAAGGCGAATTTTGTCAAATTTGTTTTTGACTCTGGATTTTCAGACTGGAAAGGATATCAGTTTCAAGCTAAACGAAGCTCTTATGAAAGGACTGGAAGAGGAAAACAAGCTCGGCCAAACGAAGCCCATATTTGGATTTCTTAGATAACATTGCGCGATACGTTGTTATGGATTTTAAAAGATACAAATATATTTTTTTCAAATTCTTAGTTATGTGGACTCGTTAGACTGCACAGTACTCCTCGCTATTTGGTTATAACTTATGTTTGGTTAACGTTACGACGCGACGTTTCTCAAACTCTAACAGAGCATTTTTGATACTTGTAAAATTTGAAGATTGCAATGAGAATAAGATTGTAAAATGAAGTATCAATAGTATAGTTTCAATAGCATTTGACTATATAACAATATTTAATTTAATTGTGTAAATTGTGTGTGTGTGTGTGTGTGTGTGTGTGTGTGTGTGTGTGTGTGTATGTGCGTGCAACTTTGCAGAGCGTATGAGTTTGAAAATCATTACTTTGAAAGAAAATTCTCATAAGGCGACATGAAAGGTATGTGTATGTATAATGATAAAGTAATCAAATAAACGGTACCAGAGTCGTATGTGTATAGGTTTCAACACACACATACACACACACATACATACACTATATACTATTATTTTTTAATAATAATTGTCCCGTCTTCTAATTCGGGCAAGAGTACATAAAAATCTTTTAAAACTTCAATAATTTCGAACTCTTCAGTAGAAGTTCAACATCGTTCATTTATCGACTCTGTATGGCATTTTCTTCCTTTCTTTTTATTCTTTTTATATGTAAAACTCGCGTCGCGCTTTGCGTATTCAACTCGAGACGTATTCTACAATTCGTACTTTATTTATTAACACTGACCTCCGCTCGCTTCGATTATATCTTCACAGGCGGATTATTGAAGGTTCGATAATCAAAGTCGATAAATGATACGCGTGCACACGCGCGCGATGAAGTCGGCTCCAGTGAATATACTTAAATTAACATGTTTCTCGTCCACAAGAATTAACATTGAGAAAAATAATTTCTGACGCGATTATTTCAATAGCACTCTGTTTTACAGTAGGATATTCTTACTGTCGTATAAATATCCTCCATGAAGTCAGTTCGTTATATAATATGGGCAGGGAAGCAGGAAAATTCGCACGAAGCTCGAGCTGTGATAACGAAATCCGTTGTTTCATTTCTTCTCTCATATTTTTTTTCAACGATTCCTTAAATAGAGTGGCTATTACAATGATTATGTTGAAAGTAGTGCTGAAAGTAGTGAAAGATATCTTTTCTTTTAGTTTCTTATAAATATTCTGTTCTTATACACAGTAGCGTTTTTCTTCCTCTTACGGATTTGTTAATAGTTTGTACAGAGGTCCTAGCATAAGTAATTCTTACAAGATAATAGAATCGTTCTCTAATGTGTAATCGTATGTGTAGTTACAAGTTCGTTAACGCGTATGTATATATATATATATATATATATAGATCGAAAATCGGACGTCCGATTTTAGCAGCGGTGACATCGTCGAGCGACATGTAGGAACCTCCCTTTCACACACACATTCTCTCTCTTTCTCTCCAACTCTTTTTCGTAATTTGAAAACAATTGAACTTGACGAGGACCGAAGATCGCATTTTTGCATGGCTATCGACGCGAAATCAATTTCTCGCATGTAAAACAACGTTAGACATACGAATGCATTTGTTATTGCGTCACGCAGCGTATTTAAGTCAGAAACTCTGATTACCATAAGTAAATTATAAAACGCCAGTCAATTTGTATGAACAAGAAATTTTTTTTAATTAGATATCGACCTCGAGTTTTTAATTTTAATTTACAGTGAGAAAATACATATATTAATTGTGATTTAAGCAAAGATAATTTATTTCTCTTAATTCTCAATTGCGAGTATTAATTTAGATAAATAGAAATAAAAAAAAGAGTAAACGAGTGTTAAAACGTTATATAATTTAAAACATGAATTCATATTAATCGCAATTTGTACCAAGAAAGAACATTTATTTATTTATTATTCTTGTTCTTCGCAAATATTACGTTGGACAAATAGAAATAAGGAAAAGATGACAAATATTGAATCATTAAACAATTTAAAACGTTAATTTATAAAATGGATATTTTTTTATGGTTGAAATAATTATTATAAAATCTTTGTTCCTAAAAAATAAAAATTGTTCGGGTACTTAAAAAAATACGATAGAAATGACTCAAATACGTCGCTTACGTATCTAAATATTCGCGGGTTGCACAGCTTGCGTGTTAGATCCGAGATCTATAACAGAGAAGGACCATTTATAAGGCCATGCATTTATGCATATATCTGTGAAAGTTCATCTTTGAAATGATTTCTCTTCTTTACTTGGCATCTCCTCGTCGTCTCTTATCTGTGACATTTTCATATACTACCGTCGAAGCTTATTTAATAAGTAACAAATCAGGATCGCGATAACGTGGAACACTATATCGCCTCCCTTTTCTAATAACAAACTAAACCTTAAACTACGCTAACAAGTGAACTCGCGAATTATTATCATCGAGATGTGTCATTAACACGCTGATTCCAGGCGGAATAAGGATACTTCGGATTAGAAAAATTGGTAAAGCGATCGGATTCGCGATTTAAAGAGCGCGATATTCATCAGGAAAATATAAGACGAATTCTTTAAATAACGTTAGAAATCGCGATAGTGTGCAATGTGGCAATCAACGTGTCAATCATCTGCTATATAAATTCAAGCTTAGACAAACCTAAATCTTGCATCTCAAAGCAATCGCTTGCATCGATCGTTTTACGAAGGTCAATCGCTATTCTAAATCGCAATTTATCAACAATTGTTACGAAATTATCAATGAGGGTAATTGCGTATATCTCCGAGGGGGAAATATTTAAGCATAATCTCAAAAATCAGTTGTCAGTTTCTTAAGTACGTTAAAGCTATGTTATTTAATAATTCGCGCGCATGTACATGAATATATGAATATGCATTCATATGTTGTAGCGAATCTCGGAAGAAATGTGCACTCGACGACATTGAAATGCAGTCAAATTTTTTAAGTTGACTGAACTTTGGTCTCTTTTTTTTGATTTGCAGCATTAAATAATTTTGGCGCGACTGGGCTCTTAAAATAATAAATATCTCTCTCTCTGTTAAAATTCACCGAACGTCGGCCGTGCAACATGATTTATGTATATTATTGGAGGTATGTACATTTTCTCGAAGCCTAATTCGCCAAAATTCTTTAACTTTCGACGATACATAATTGCGTAGTTAACGATTTCGTGTTAACGAGGTTTCAAACGAGGTACGCGACTTCTAACAAGATATCTTCTATATAGATACAGAGTAACCCATTTTAATGAATGCTGTAAAATATTTCATAGATTGAAAGCGAAATACATGCATGCTTTGTATTTTATTTGCTTCGATAGGAGTATTTATTATGTGGTGAAAAAAAATAAGTGTCCCGATCATTTAATGCGAAATATTTCACTGCATTAATTACAACGGGACGACTTCTTTTTTTATAGATAATTGTATATGTATATATTATTTATATCTAATTTACGTCTGTAATTGTATTTATATACTTATATTTGCATTTGTCTTTGTATTTATATATTTATGTTCATATGTATATTCGTATTTATATTTATTTCATATTATTCATATGTTCATATTTATAGTTGCGTTTATGTTCATATTTATATTCGCATTCATATATTCATATTTTTATTTATAATTACTTATACATATACATACATATAAATATGTATGTAAGGCTGTGTTTTCCGTTTCACGCATGATGCGCATGATGCTTCATTTATCCTTGTTTAACATTCGGTGAATAACAAGGATAAATAATGTAGCATGCGCATCATGCGTGAAACGCAGCCTATATTAAATTTGCTGTGTGTTGTTCAGCAACTCTTTGTTTCAAACGTAGAGACATATTTCTCGTGTATCTCCTTCGCGCGTGAAAACTGAACGACTGCATTAAAATCGGTGCATTAAGAACTACCTCAACTTTTTGTGCGCATTTAATGCGAAAGTAAAATTGGAAACGTAATTAAAAAAACGACGGATGACGATGGATGGAAAACGACTGTTCGAAAAAGTGCAGATCGAAAGCGTGGTAAGTGAACGAACTAAATAAAAAAAGAGAAAAAAAGAGAATCGATTCACACTCGTTCGACAGCTGTGAATAATCGTGTACTTTATTTATTTAACGTTTAATTAGACTTTCGCAAGTTCAAAATCCATAGTTTAATTCTCTCTCTCTCTCTCTTCCCACACTCATTACCTCTATTTTAATTTTAATGTCCATATGATTATTATATATAAGTGTCGCTCTTTACACTCGGTTAATTGATTGCACGTCGTGAGAAACAAATCCCTCTTTTTTTCTGTTTTTTTTTCCCTCTCTTCCTCTTTATTATTAACTTCTTTATTATTAACTTCTTGCACTCGGCGAAACGTAATTGCATATAACTTCCCTAAAATTCACCACACTTTAACCGCAATAAATAATGTGTGTTACTCGCTGCTTATTTAATTAATCAAGATGGTTTGACAAAAACAATCGGCGACACCTCTCGCCGCACACGAGACGATCCCTCGCCGTAACCCCGTAAAATTAGATAACAACAGAGAGACCCCCGAGAGCTACCAACTAATTTTCAGTAATCGTACAGTGGGCATATCGTTACTTTACGCGTTTAGCGCATCGCATAGCACAAATTACGCTGCCGTTCGCACTTTTTTTTCCCTTTCAAACAAGCCTTTTTACAGCTCCCTATACGGCCTCTCTTCGCATATTCACGTTTTCTTTTTGCCCTCGTTAAACGAGCAATCGGCGATTGGAACTGGAATAATCTTTAGTTCCGCCTCGAGATCGAGGCTGCTATAATTGTAGATACGTATGTACATCTGTACATGTTCATATATAGACACCCCTTGTAGAAATTAATACTGAGAATTAGTAGAAATTTACAGTGGTAAAGTACTAACAGTATTTCAGCGATTATTTGGCCAATGCTTAATTATTAAATACCGGCTTATTACTGGTTCAATACTGGCAGCCCTTATAGATCCAGCAAACTCAAATTATAGACGATAATTTCTCGCTCAACAATGTAACTGTTATGTACGACATGTGTTACAGTTATATTGTGAAGCGGGGAAATTATAACGAATAGTTATTATTAGTTGATGTTTGCTGGAAAAATTTAATTTAATATACTGGAAGTAATTAATTGCTTACTTTGAATTACAAACATTATTATTCAATATTAAAAGCACTTAACAATAGTGTTTTTAATTTTTAAAGTTGATGAATTTGTACAGTATAGAAACTTGTGGCGATACCCCAAGCAGAACAACAAGTCACAATAACTTCAAAATGACGTTCAAATGAATCGTAACTGATTGAAAAGTGACTAATCTGCATTTTGAAACTATTTTGACGTCATTTTGATAATTTAAGTTCTGCTTGGGATTATTGCAACATTCCAAGGAACACATAAAAGAAGTAAAGTCAAAATGACTATTTTGATTCTTAACGTCGATAAACAATCAAATTTTGTAACAAAAAATCATCATTTTGACTTTTATGACGTCAAAATAGAGTCATTTTGACTTTCTCTTGACTTTGTGTGTCCTTTGGGATTTCCAATGTTGCTGTAATATTGCTGGAATGCTGTATGGGAAGCAATTAATCACTACCTTCCAGTATTAAATTTCTGTAAGGAATGAATATGGTAGATACGTACATATACACGTCAAGTGTTTACATTTAAAGGGAAAATAAGAAAAAAGAAATCGATCGTATGGAAGGTCGGCTGCCCCGAGTGCACTGCTCGATGGATCTCTTTAAAGTCACTTGATCTTATAAAGTATCGCAAACTCGCATCCATTTTCGAATTTATCGCGGTCATTTCGAATTTATGGCATTTGTATTACGTGCTTTATTTGGGAAAATGAAGCCGTCAAGTCACAATAACTTCAAAATGATGTTCAAATGAATCGTAACTGATTGAAAAGTGACTAATCTGCATTTTGAAACTATTTTAAACTTTTATTAGGTACATAAATCAATATTTTTTTTAGTTGTAATTAGTTTATGAACAAAAGAATATGTACGAATGCTCAATTCATGTGTTCTTTAGTTTAATACGGATTTATTTGTCGTAGAAGTTTTGTGCATAAAAGTGCACGAAGGATACATGTAAGTACAGTTCAGAACTGTTCAGGAACACGAAAGTATACATCACACGTAAGATTAACGGCATCCAACTGTACCCAATATGTACTTAATTGTGTTAAGTCGTGTGCTATGTGCCCTTCGGCCATTTTTACGCGACATTTTTTGAAATCAATTGCGGTACTTTGACAATCTAGTGACTTTGGATCTCTTCTCTCTCATTAGCGTCATCAGCCTTCGCGCCGATCCCTTCGGTTCCGGCCGCGAATCCATGATGCGGAAAAAACGAGGTATGCGAAGTCGCGCTAAGTGCGTAAGTACGCGCGCGGTTTACTTCCTTCAACACACGATTAATTCGACGGCACAATACACCGATTATACCGTTTGTGTTAACGCGAGGATACCCGGGCCCGCCGAGTAAACCCGATCGAAACGACGGCGATCGGTAAAAAAAAAGTGTGTCTCAGCACGGAAGAAATTACGCCATGTTCAATGTCTGTAAAACGATCATCAACGTTTATTTAAGATACATTGTTATCGAAAGCATTTAAACTCTTCCCCTTTTTTCCTTACAGGTGCCTGATAATTAAATC